TTGGCTGTAAAAGTCAGTTCTTCAATGCGAACTGGCACTCATTTTGTCTGAGAACGATCAAAATGTATTTTATCTGAGCATTTTCTGAATAATTATGCTTATTGTTGGCTTTTCTAGGTAATAGACCGTGTACATTCCCACATATGTGTTTCTTTTTCTGCTGGCAATGATGCAGGTTTAATCAATGGATGTTCTAGCTAACATTCATCTTCTTCGAATCCCCGACCCAACGTCTCGACACTTCTGGCGATAGATTCGACATGTTCAGACGGCTGGCTATGGCAACTCATGGCGATCTTCTCGTCGTCAACAAAAGCGATGTAGCTACGGTATGATAACTCGTACGTTTGACAGATTGCTTGTTGCTATTTTGTTGAGATTTTCCTATAAGTTCGAGGCGCTTTGATATCCCTTTTCACAATAGGTGTACTACTACAAACATAGGTGATTAGGAGATATCTCAAAATGACGGTAGACTTTTAGGCTAGCAACCTTTCACATTCGTAATCGCAGGCAGAACATACCGCATTTGCGAGTAAAATAACTAAAAGAAGCAAAGAGAATTCGTGGGTGACCGGAGACAACCTGCGCCTGATGGTCTAATACAAAAGTTGGAAATAAGTAATATGTTCGTGGTTGGCAGGAGGGGTGGGAGTGACCTAGCCTAGCTTCGTATATTTTTATCCGTTCATTCTGTCATGTACTGCCCTTCAGGCGTCCTTCAGTTGAGTAAGTTCTACTCTCAGTTCAAATTTGTTGTGTAATTGACGACAGCAACGAACCTTGCGTCAGAACCCCCTTCCCCGAGTATAAACACTGCCTGAGTCATAAAGAGTCATAAAATTAGATAACGAGACTCAACTGATAACTTTTAAGGCAAACTTTGTAGCTGTTAAAGTCGCATTTTTCAATTACTTATGTGACAAAAACTTTAGGTGATGACGGAAGTATTATCAAATTACAACAAAATGGAGAATGTTGTTGTCCGTTACAAATTTAACTGCAGCGATCTCTATGTTCTGAGCATTCCCACAGGAGAGGATGTGAAAATACTTCTCACTATCGATAAGAACGAAGGTTTGCTACACACTTCCGTTGAAATCACAAAGGACTATGACAATGACGATAATCGATGAAGGATTGTTTTGTATTCAGGAAACCCCACTACATTTATTCCACCTTATGTAGTTGACTTGAATGGTGAAAACTTGACGGAAACATCGTCAGGGACTTACTATTCGGTATGACTTTGACATTTTTCGTTACAGAAGAAGCGGAGAGAACATGGAATATTTTGATTAAATTTCGGAGAGATTTCTAGGAGAAACATGCCATGGTGTTACTGAATTAGGTTTAGACGTTAATAGTAGACTCGATGGAAGTCCTTTTATTCAAAGATTTTACTTTCAGTTCTACATACTTCCTAATACAACAGTTTATGTCCGCGTTATTTCGCAGACACCTGGCCTGATCTGTTCGCTGAGAGCATTTGTCAGTTCGGCGAGAACTATGCTTCTCAGCTATACCGATAATCCTCTAATCGACATTGGTGATCCTGTTCGTTACGCTGGTGGGCTATATGATGGTTTAACCATTTATTTATCTATGTAAGCGCTACAAGATACGGCGCTACCGTATTTTGCAATAATAGTCGCATATTCTAAGCAAAAAGGATGTGCCAATTGTCAGAGAAGGAGAAAGATATAATTTCAAACAGGAATACTTTAGGTTAAAGTTAAATTGAGGCGTAATGAGCAAAATTGCATCTGACAAGGTAAGCAGGTGTCACTAAAAAGAACCGCAGTAGAGCGTTTATGGAAGCGTTAGCCTGTCAGTAGTGAGTGGTTCTTGGAATAACACTAAGCGAATGATTACGTGAAAAAGGAAGCAACTTATATCTATAAAACTTCCCACTAATATCAAAGGCATTGTAATGGCCCATAACGTTTTTCATGTGTTTTGCGCATTAGCTGTAGGCATCTGTCTACAGTTAACGCGCAAAGCACATGAAAAACTTTATGGGCCATAACATCTGAACGCATCATTGAATTTGATCAGTTTGTAAGATGAAATCTGCTGAGAGAAAAATAGCACATGTAGAATCCTAGTTTGGAACTTTTCCTGAAATATCAATTAACCAGCCAATTCCGTTACTCAAAGTGCATTCAGATAAGTCCCTGATTCTAGGTATTAGCTGAATGAGAGCGTGGCCCGCTCTCCAGCATGACCGACGTTGTTCATCTTATACGTTCCAACTTTTCTCATATCTTTGAATACATTCATTTAATTGAAGTAACAACTGTTTCCAGGAATTCCACAGCTTGCGACAGGACTTCCAATAGGATATCCCGAGCCGGTAACCATCGTGATTCAACCGATTGATTCCACAACAGGGTCCCCGTTTCAAGAAGTGACTATTGGTTCGCGAAGAACATCGGACAGCACGTTTTCGTTGACTTTCGGCAATCTAAATGAATGCACGCCAGGACCATTTGTGTGAGCCTTTTTTTTT